CTAGGCCATTGACTCCAACCGACATTAGGATTTTCTTTGGTCTATCAGGTTCTTATTGGACGTTTGTGGATGGTTTTGCATCCATTGCATCTCCCTTGACTACTTTGACCCAAAAGAGTAAGAAATTTGAGTGGTCGGAAGCATGTGAGAAAAGTTTTTAAATCTAGAAAGATAGACTTACTTCCGCTCCGGTGTTGACTTTACTGGAGGATATCAAGGGTTTCGTTGTATATTGTGATACATGCCGAGTGGGTTTAGGGTGTGTGCTTATGCAACATGGGAAAGTAATATCCTATGACTCTAGACAACTTAAGGTGCGTTACACGAATTACCCAACTCATGACCTTGAGTTAGCGGCCGTGGTATTTGCCTTGAAAATGTGGAGGCATTACTTGTATGGTGTTCATATGGATGTGTATACCGACCAGAAGAGTCTTCAATATGTGTTTACTCAAAAGGAGTTGAATCTCTGACAAAGAAGGTGGTTGGAAGTGTTAAAATATTACGACATGAGTGTTCTCTATCACCCCAACAAGACCAATGTGATTGCGAACGCTCTAAGTCGTTTGACCATGGGTAGTGTGTCTCATGTAGAGGAAGCCAAGAAAGACCTAGTGAAAGATGTTCATAGGTTGGATGGATTGGATGTAAGAATGGAAGATTCTTCGAATGGTGGTTTTATAGTCACATCCGGAGAGCACCCCCAATATGCGACAGGCTTCGTCGTCCTCTCAAAGGAATCTGACAAGCACTTAACATTCTTCATAACATGTCATTTGTTAAAATTGCTGAAAAATTAAAAACTTTTAATACCATGTGAAGTATACTTAGACTGATACATAACAATCATGAAAACATACGTAGACATATTATAAAAGTTGTCTCATATAAAAATCATCTAAAGAGTATGAATCTGGACTTAGCCAATAAAAAGTTAATATGAAATATAGGCCTTAATACGAGAGAATCCAAAGAACGTAAATAAAATCAAAAGTATTCTTAATAACTACTAAAGTCTTCATAAGACAGAGTACGAAAAGATAACATCCCCGAACATAAGGACCTACCAACACTTGGAGAAAGAGTTCCAAGCTTCTTCAATCTACCTTCTTAATCTTCAATGGCCGGTCCCTACGTTTGTAGTAATATAAAGTAATTGGGTTAGTACACCACATGTACTAAGTATGAGTATATGCACATAAGATTTAAGGACATGTATGAAAAGGATCATTTCTTAGAAAGCATGCTAAGCCATTTGAAAATCTTCAATGCACATACCATAGAACATATACAAGTTAAGGATTCCATCAACATAAAACATGATCATAATCAAGGATATATTATCATAGAGTTATGTTAATACTTCATATTCAATAGATCATATAAACATAACATACAAAACACTTACCAATGATCTCATCCCCAACCTACAAGTGCAATGGTCATGTGAAGCCCCATAACCCCACACAACCAAGTAGATAAGATAGGAGACTGTAAGTAAAGCTTTGCTTATATAACTTGTAACATAAGTAGTCATCACCTCATAAAGCATTATAGATCAATAACATGTTCATCAATGTACCAACTTCATATAAGAGTAACAACATGCATCATAAGCATCATATCTTTCATGTTATGATATTACATAAGAACAATCTCCTAGGACTTCCCTTATAGTCAACTTGTGCAATGTCTAGGTAGAGTCCCATACCCCTATCTATACTAAGTAGACTCTTCAAGTCACCCTAGTCAACGTCCATTTACTTGTCTTTCATTTTACTTGAGGTAACATTCTCCTTAACCGACATTAGACCATGTGAGCTGAACATGGAATTCGGTGTCATAAAACCCCACACCGAAATAAGGTAGTCTACCAGCCAAAGTAGAACCAAACATGACATAGCTTTTTAGGTGGATCCTCTAGTTAGTATGCTATGGTGGCAACATATTCAAGAACTTGGATATATATTAGAGATCCATAGTTCCACATTACATGACAACCTCTATCTCATGAGATTTATTGTGAACCTACCTTCCAACTAGAGAAGGGACACCTCTCACATCTAATTCACTCAGTGCTAAGCTAAAGTCCCCTTTTGATTAACCTTTAAGTCATCATTTATTCATAAATCTTATCATAAGTCATAAGAGATTATGTTCTTGTATAAACGTTATCATAATCTCCTTAGGATTAGATGAGAATTTCCTTTCATCGTAACCCTTCATTTGTGAGATTAACATATAATAAATCATTTTGTGTAAAACATACAAGATATCATAAACTTGCATTATCACATTCTTATCATGATCTCACAAATTAACATATTCATAGCTCAACATATATTCATAGCATTATCATACATACTTCATTAGCATTGTAACATCATTTATAGGCTAATATAAACATCATAGAATAATCACGACATTAGAAGACTTACCTCTGCTTCCAAGATCCTTATTCAAGAACTTATATTCAATATACAACAACCATCCAACAACATAGTGAAATACTCAATAAAATAATCAACACTAACTCTTTAGCTCATAAACAAGACTAATTCGTAAAGTGGAATAAGGGAAAAGTTCATTTCGGAGTTCATTCAAGTCATAGTCCCAATCCCAACAGTTACATATTATTAAGTAATAGGTATGCCCCATTCAAAACCATCAATTTGATAGGGGAAATGCGTCACACGAAATTTAAGCATTATAAGTCAAACATTCGACAATATATACTAAATCAAACATAGAAAATCATTATTTTTCATCGATAGTCATAAATTTAGAGTTAGAAAGAAAATCCATTTTGTAGAGTAAGAATCCTAGGAGTTGAATTCTTTAAAATCATATTTGAAAGGACCTCTTGGGTAAAGGTACCCCAAGAGTGAAAAATGTATACTTTACTGACGAATAATACATGAATTTTGGAAGAAAATCTTGAAGTCTTCGTCTTCTTCCTTAAGCTCTTCTTATTCTTCAAAGGAATTTGAAAAAGAGAGCGTTCTTGAGAGAGATAAGAGAAATTCGTTTGATTTGGTTTAAATATGTAAAAAGTGGTCTAAAACTAACCTATGATCAATATATAGTCTTCCTAAAAAATACCAAAAAGACCCTTCACTTAAATGAGTCTTTTTGTGAAGTTAAATTACCAAAAATACAAATTTAACGAATTTGGAAAGTGGATGTGCGTCGCAGGGCTAATTCCCATTTTTTTTGAATTTTGTGTCGAGGCAGTGCGCCTTGTGAGAGCCTCGCTTTCCAAAATCTTGGGGCAGTAAAACACGTGTGGGCTGCGAGTCGCGCAACAGCCCTTGGTTCTTGTTCGCGCAAGCTGCTTTGGCAGCGTGCCTACCCATGTTGGGGTCCTCCCCAAGGACCCTTCGGGTGGTCTTTGGGGTGTCGTTACCGAACGTTTGGACCCTTTGTACTACATACTACCTATACAAAATCATTTTGCTAGTTTTAGACTTCATTTGACACTTCAAAACCTTCACCAAACATAGGGACATCAACTGGTTCAATTTAGCTAGTTTCCGGACGTCAAAGTCTTTCTTTGCCGTTTGGCTCTAAGCTTTTTTAAATGAACTTATTACATTAATATAGGTCTGGAAACATCATTTTAAAGATTATTTAATAGATTAAGCTCTAGTCTAAGTCATGGCATTTCCGGAGTGTTACATTATCCCCTCCTTAGGAACATTTGTCCCTGAATTACACTAAAATATTTTTGGAGGGTAAAATACACGCAATCCTAGCAGCCCAACAAAACAACAACATAAATCATAAGAACTCACAACTCATAAGATTACTTCACAACTCCTTTCAACACATATCATAACATTACACATAGCACTCAATTCATGATGACCAACATATAAGAGTTTCATATTCATAACACATAGTGAGGAGCTTCCTTCTCAACATTATCATGAGCTCAAAATACATCAAGGAGTTACCATGTTATCATTCTTCTGAAGACAACAACAAAGCAACAAAATCTCAAGAAGACAACATGCATACATATTTCATATAAGTGCAAGAATAGAGTATGAAAACATTTTCTTAAACTCAAATTGATGTAACTTTTACCAAGGCATGCTCCTATTTAGGAAAATAAGTCAATTCATATATTCATTATTTTCTTTACTAATATGAATGTCTAACCCCAAGGAATAAATAAATGATGGTAGTGGGACTTCATGTCAGCTTCAGCTTCCCATGCTGCACCCTCGACAATATTGTTTCTCCATAGAACCTTTACAGAGGCAACCTCCTTATTTCTCAACTTCTTGACTTGGTGATCTAGGATATCAACCGAAACCTCTTCATAGGAGTGCAAAGTATTAAAATAAATAGTGATGAGATAAAACAATTTGTATCTTGTTTGGTTTCTATGTTTAAGACAACTTATTTCAATATTTATATCATAGTGATGTCATAAGTTATCTCATATACCTGTTGGGATAAATTATACCAGGATAGCTAACCCCAGGATAACTAATTTTGGAATAACTTGTTTTCAATTAAACGACTCATAGTAAATAGAAATACCATTATAATGTGTGCGTGATAGCAACAACAATAATGAATCTCATGTATTCTCATAAATAAGATCAAAATAGGATAATATATATATATATATATATATATATATATATAGATCTTACCTCTATTTTAAAAGATAAATATCATTTTCAATAGAATTCGATTCGAATAATAAAAATGGGAAAGAATATTACTACTAATACGAACCATCTCTTATCACAAAACATGTTCAAGAATATTTTTATTTTGGACTTAAATCATATTGGCAATTTCTCCATCAACTTAAATAAAAAATTATATTTCACTTAAAAAAAATTAAACATATCTAATCAAATATCACATAGATTAAAATCAAAATCTACATAATCAAAGGACTAAAGTGCTAATATCCCTTATAATTACCATCAAGTGATTCATATAATAGAAGTTTAAGTATCAAATGGTACAAAAGTAAAAAGTTAGAATCCTCCAACTATAAAAAAAACATAAATCAGCCACCGGGCGGCGGCGACTTCACTTTTTCCGTCCACCGGCTGAAAGAGAAAAATATTTCACCACCTATTTTAAAAAGTATTTATTTCCCACTTTTATTCTTCGAATCTACGGTAGAAATTAATTGGAAAAAAATAATATTCTTTTTGGATCAGAAAATAATTGAAATTCGCGATAAAGAAAAATTGTTGTTTTGATCTTCCATTGAAGGGTTCATTGATTTCTGAGCTTTTTGGTTCAAAGGGTTTTTTCAGAAAATGGAGAAAGTAATGAATATATTGAAGCCGAAACCGAATCCTCAACAGATTTTGAGGGATTGGCAACGTCGGCTCCGGCAAGAGTGTCGGAATATTGAACGTCAAATTCGAGGTGAATTGTATTTCTGTTAAATTGTTTGTAGTCAGGAAGGAAATGGGGGTTTTTGGGTTATTGTAAAAATTTGATTTTTATGTTGGGCTTTTTGAATTTTTCCTGTTTTGGGGTTTGTGGATTTTTCTTTAAGCCGAGGGTGTATTGGAAATAGCCTTTGTACATTTGAGCTAGGGTAAGGTTTACGTACGCTCTACACTTCCCGAGACACCACTTTGTGGGACTACAGTGTGTATGTTTTTTTTTTTTTTTGAATTGTTCTATTTTGGGTTTTGTGAATTTTCTGGATTTTGATTAGATATACAAAGGGAGGAGAAGAATGTACAGAAAGCAATTAAAGAAGCAGCAAAGAGAAATGATATGGGTTCTGCCAAGGTGACTTACTGCTCCTTTTAGATTGTTTATCTTGCTGTTTTGCTGTCGTTGTTTCCATCGTATCCTTTGTTGATCACATTTTTGAGCCGAGAGTGTATTGCAAACAACCTCTCTGTCCTAGAAAGGTGGCCATACCCCACTCGTGGATTATATTGGATATTTTGTTGTAGTTGAACTTCTTAGATTGAAAAACCAATCACATTTTTAGTTTTTGGTGGTGATGAATGCTTTTTTGTTGCCTGCTGATTCTTATAATCTTACTTTACAAGGGAGATATACTGAGAAATAGTTGTTGCTCGGGCTCTCTGAAATTGTTGTTGCACCCGTGTCGGATTCTCCAAAAGGCATGACTCTTGGATTATCCGATACACACCTGTCAACAGTTTTTATGAGTTCGAGCAACATAGGTCCAAAGTAAGTTCATAGAAATTGTGCCACTTTGGAGCTAGGAGAAGAAAAATATTGAATTTTCCTATAGTTAGATTATATATGTGATTAAATTACCTAAAGCATGGATCTTTAAGTTGTTTCTACTCTTTATGCCACTTTTTTCGCACTGGTTTCTTGCAAACTTGTGCTCATGGCTTATTGTTCTTGTTTATTATACTAGTTATTAGGTTCAATATGTTATTCTCATGCCTTCTAACAATAGTGAGATGATATTGGGAAGTTTTCTGAGTATGTAGAATATGCGGGAAACTATTAACTTCCAATGTGTTATTTCTCATAGTTGCTTGTTCATATTTTCAGAATTTAGGCATTTGCTAAAAGACCTGTGAGATCAATAAAAAAGGTTTTTAATTGCTTTACCTAGCCCCCTCTCCCTGTCATGCTTTAAATCTCGGTCTATAACACAGTTAAATTGAGAAATAGTCAATAGACTGAACTTGATGTTTGAAAATTTGTTATTTCAGATCAGGCAATGAAGAGGCATTTTTTTTTTATTGAACCAAGGTTATTTCATTAAATTAGAGGTATCTCCTGTATACAGGAAGTATACCAAAAAATCATGAGAACCTACACAACAATATGGTTCTCTACAAACTGTATCCAATTCCAATCTTCTACACAAATAGGGACCACATGGGCACACAAAAACTAAAACAAAGAACTGTTCCACTAGGGTACAACGCCATTTACTACTTCATGAAATGCTCTCCTATTCCTCTCCTCAAAACGATCCACATCAATGCAAGTGGAGTTATGTCTCATGTCCCGTGTCTTGTATTTTAAATGTTGCGAAATGAGAAAGAGAAGAAGGATGAATGCGCTGCTTTGAAGGCACTTTCTTCATCTGTCACAGTGTGCTTGACCATTGAGATGTTTTGCATATAACACTTGGCGTATTAGAACATCTATTTTGGGCCATTGATAGAGTTTCAGGTGGTTTAGAAACCAATATGCTTTTTCAGAAACTTCTAAGGAATGCCTATTTTAATAGTTAGATTAGTACTCATCCAAGATTTCTTCTAGTGTGTATGTTGCATTCAGTCTGATATTATACATTTTTATGAGACATGATTTATTGGTTTTTGGCATCCCATTGCTTATTCATATTGGAGTGTTGATGTTTTTGTCACAGGCACTTGCTAAAGAGATTGTGAGATCTAAAAAGACTGTGAACCGATTATACGAGAATAAGGCGCAGTTGAATTCAATATCCATGCACCTTGGAGAAAGTGTTGGTATGATCAAAGTCTTGCTTCTCCTGTTGTATATATGTATATGCTGTAGTATATTCAGGATTCTGCATTTGGTCCCCTAAGTTCTTGTTGATGAGCAAACTGTCTTTAGAACAATATGCATCCATTGAGAAGGTAGCACCATTATTTCTTGACAGGGATTAAGGATATCTATCTCATGTTGTATAATGAATAATTTTAAAAGTTCTCTTTCTTGGACAATGTATCAGTTGCTGGCGTGCAAATGCAATGTCTTATTTAAGGGAGTTTCAAGAGTGTCATCATATACAAGTCACATCAAATGTCTTGCTGATTTTGTTCGATTGTTGAATAGGTAGTTTGAACTTTGAAGAGTCATAATGTGTAATTATATAGATGTTCAAAATGCAGAAGTAGGATTTCATATTTTTCTTTATGATTTCGATTTCTTTAATAAGAGGTGAAAGTTATCACTTTATGCTGGTCAACCAGATGTTATTGTGGTGAAACTGACAAAATTCTGCGTTATTTATGACCGAAAAATCTGAAGGGAGCAACCCTTTGGGCCAACCGCAGCCTATGGAATTCAGGATGATGGGGCACCCCTCTACCCTTCTCCACTCAAATATTGAACTTAGTTCGCTTGGCGCAAGGTTCAAACTTGTAACCTAAGATACAAGTGCCTCAACCTTTGCCATCTGAGATAATCCCTGGAAGCAATACAATTCTTTCTGTTGAATTGATTCTGTGTAATAGTAGGAACATTCTACATATGACTGGCTGTCCCAAATACATTGATATCGGAACTTGTAAAGGAACCTCTTCCTAATAATAATAAGGTATCACCCAAGTGTGTCCTGGTGGTCAATGAAGTAGGAGGAGAAACATGACGTCTCAAGTTCAAATCCCTGCGGAATAAAAAACACTATGTGTTTTCTTCCATCTGTCTAAACCTTGGTGGACAGAATTACCTGGTACCTATTGCTGCTGGTGGGAGCTAGCAAATATCCCATGCAATTAGTCGAGGTGCATGTAAGCTGGCTTGGACGCCATGGTTATCAAAATTAACATGAGCTGCCATTACCTTGACTTTCATGATGGATGGTGACTGTACCAATCTTGATCTTAAGTGGAACTGGATCATGTGTTTACTCTAGTAGTTGGTTGTACTGATTGGCGAGGACTTCCTAAAGAAAAAGGAAAAGGAATCATTCTTATTTTTTCATATAGGAGAATTTCTTCTTTCAATGATACAGCCTACTGTAGTTGCAGAACTGATGTATGCTCCTTATATTTAGAAAAAATGCGTACTATGAAAAAAGCATCTTTAGCCTATGACAGTTTTTAATGATCAATTAGTTATGAACTTTTAGCCCCTGTTGCGTTATTAAGTTTATGGGAAACCAACTTTATTTTCTATATCTGAACTCCATGAAAAATTGCAATCATCTTTTCATGTCTGATAGGAGAACTTTTTTCTTCCTACTACCATATAATGAATTTATTCCAGAATTGTTTTTGTTTGCTATATGCTGTAACAGATTCTTAGTTAACAAGTTATTGCATATGTATATTAAGTTGGTGCTAGATTGTCTTACATTTTGAAATATTTGATAGCATGTTGGCGTGTCAACTGCTTTATACAGAATACCTATGTAGCTTGATTTTTTCTGTTTAGGAAAATAAACTGTATTATGAAGCCGGCCTCTTGCTTTCTACTTTAATGTTAGGTTATGTGTTGGCTTCTTCAAGTGTCCCATTGAACTTCTAATTGGTTTTGCAGCCATTGCTCGCACAGTGGGGCATTTGTCTAAGAGCGCTGAAGTCATGAAGCTCGTCAATAATCTTATGAAGGCTCCAGAAGTGGCTATGACAATGCAGGAGTTTAGTAAAGAAATGACCAAGGTATATCAGTTTGGTTTTAGCTTTTTGAGCTTCAATGAAGTTCTTGAGCTTTCCTCCTGGTTGGATGTTGCTATGGCTCTCTTATGCACTTTACTTTATCTTAAAAGTAATTCTGAAGTTCAATCTATGCAACAAGGTTTCCAACCATACAAGAATGTTTTTCAGTCTCAAGGTTTGCTAAAAATTACGATAAAGAAGTTTGACCACATATATAGTTAATAACTAAGCACGAGATAACAAAAGTTGCCCACAAAATTCCTTTCCTTCTGGCGGGCTAGCACCGTGTGTTGTGCCAAAGTTTCAAGCCAAGTGTTCGCGCTGTGTTGATGTTGCTAGCACACTTTGATTTTTGTGTCCCATTATGTTGCATTGCTTCAGAAGCCTCCCCAGCTTGTTGCATCTATGTCCAACACGGCGCGTTGGGCACTATTTACCAGCTTGTTTTTCTCCGAGTTGTTCAACACAATCCTCCAGCTTCCAAATATGGTATTCTTTGCATGAATCTTTGAGTGACTTGTTGAATACCCCTTCTAGTTGTATCCAAAATTCTTTAAGCTTCTTGATCTGCAATCCTTGGACGCTCTTGGCCTTTTAATGAGTTAGCAGTTCTTTGGACTCTTCAAATTCTTCCATAACTAGTCTTTAGGTATGAGCGTTGAACGTGTACCCCACATCATGAGTATACATTTTTTTTTATAATTGTGGTGTATGAGCCAGCTTGCGTGCACTGAGCACACAATTTTAGAAAATCGTATAGAAGAGTTGATCAATGTATTTGAGTCATAAATAAAAATTAAAGATAAGAGTGAGCTTCTAAAAAAGATGAATGTTTGATCTCATTTAGTTAGCTAAAAGAAATCCTGCCCTATGTAAGTCCTCACATGCCGTATCATGATTTTTAAGGACTTTTGTGGGGATATCTTATGGGAATTGATTTTATTGCTATGACCTAGTACTGAAAATAATCAAGTAACACAAAAATACTTCTATCACAATTCTTCAAAGATTTGTCAAATAAACACAAACTGAGACATTTACCCTACAGCTCCTAGGATGGCCCTAAAGTGTTTTTGGGAGGAGGCCGGGGGGGGGGGGGGATGGCCAATGGGCATCTCTGTGTGCATATAGATACAAAATTTAATGGGAAAAAGGTCAAATTTGTTCCTCTTCTATCTGAAAAGGATCAATTTTATCCTCTTCTATGCGAAGAAGATCCATTTGGTGATGTGCACTCACTTGGCATGCCACATTACCCCCAAACCATTTTACTTCATTTCCTCCGCTGCTTCTTCCACCACTAGAGCCACCTCCCCTCAACCACCATTGCCACCATCAACAACACCGTTTTCACTGTAGAGTGGACCAAAAGGGGAGTCTGTGGCTTGTCACATCATCCCCCCTCCCTCTTCTTCTTCTCTCTCTCTCTGTCACACACACACACACACACGCAAACACACTTTTTTTTAATCTGGAAATTACCCTTTCTCTTGTTATTGCAGGCTGGTGTCATGGAAGAAATGGTCAATGATGCGGTGGACAGTGCCCTGGATTCAGAAGACATGGAAGAGGAAATTGAAGAAGAAGTTGACAAGGTCCTGACTGCAATTGCTGGTGAAACTACTGCACAATTACCTGAAGCAGTCCGAAAGGAGAAGTTAAAGCAACCCGCCCAGGCAGTGGAGGATGCAGAGGTATGTTCCTTTCATCTGTGATTTATTGTATAGAATGATCCTTTCTGTGATCAAGCAAACTGAATTGATTAACGTTTGATTTGTTCTTTCTTGCAGGATGACGAAGAAGATCTAGAAGAACTAAGGGCACGTCTTGCTAAAGTTAGATCCTAAGTGATTTTTAAAATTGACTCGCGCTGCCTCTAAGGCTTCGATGTAAAATATGTTGTGTGTGAAACAAAGACCTCTTCTATGGTCTGACGAGTTGCATCTTCTATCTGGAAGAGAGGATATTGAAGTACCTTCTATATCTTAGAATCAATACTCATGATTTCTTGTATTGATTATCAATGTGAGTTGTGATCTTTTTCTCTTTGAGCATGCTTTTCATTGTATGGTAACTGAAAATCTATGCTAACAACATTTCTTGCTATTTAGTAGAATTGGCTGTTCAATGTTATCTCCGTGGGATGCTGTCTCTAAAATCGTAATTTTAATGCACTTTTATTTTATTTTTTTGTGTAAATATTAGTATCAAAATAGCAAATTTTCTGATGCCTGTTTTGCATAACTGTTTGTATCCTAGCATGCTTCGGAAATTTCCTTGTTAATTGCTTATGCAAAAGGTCTTGGAATGTTCAATTTCTTTCTGCTGTCTCTTTGCAGTTTGCATACCCTGACTTCCAGATGTTGTAGAGTTCTTGTTACTATTCGCAGCTGACTTTTAATAATACAATGAAGTACTTCCTCTAGTGAATTTAGAGTAGTTTTACACACTTTCTTGCCAATAAACACTTGTGATTTGTTATCATTCATCAACTGTGGAGTGTACTCTTAGGTTCCTGGAAATTGCATTTACTATTGTTACCATATCCGGATCTGTAAGTATTATTGTCAATAAGGAGAATGTCTTTGTAGTCAAAACATCTTTATGTCCATCTAGAATTTCTGACATATAGATCCAATATCTCAATGATAAACTGGTGTAAAGTTGACAAGAATTCGACTTGCTCTCCTATTTTTCACATAGTTTTGAAATGTTTACAGCTTCTTGATTGCCAAGTGGATGACTTTTGAGGCTTTTTGTTGCTCTAGATCTTGGTTTTCCAGTGGATTCTTGCAGGTAAATCCCTTGAAATTTGACTTCAGATTCAGCAGTCAAGGTAGAGATGCTAAGGTATTTTTACTTATATCATTGTTGCTTGGGCTCTCCAAAAATGCTCACGCACCCATGTTGGATTCTCCAAAAATGGCCTACTTTTGTAGGATTTGACATGCACCCAGTGACATTTTTGAAGAGTTTGAGCAACATAAACTAATAGGACTTCGTAAGTTCTAGCTTGTGAAGAGTCTTTCTTTATGGAGTCCTGTTCTAAGTGATCATAGAGTGTTTGCCATCTTTAAGTTAATATTTGTACCTTTAGTGTAGAAATATGCAAATGTGATTGTATCATATCTAATGCTTCTTTGTATATGTTTCCTCTATCATAACAAGCACTCTAGTCGTTGATATTGATATCCCTTTTGTAAGTACATCATCTAGTTGTTCTTGTGATGAAACATGATGCAACAAATACAGTCAGACATTGAGGTTTGTTTTTTACGCCTCTACTAAAGCCACATTCGATGAGGCGTTTACCATCAAAAAGTTGGTGCTGAATTCTCATAACCAGCAGTATTGTTTGAATGTACAGGGAGTGAAACAGGGAGATCCACTCTCACCAGTACATTTGATTATTGTGGCAGAAAGTCTTATCCAGAGGTCACAATGCTCTATTAATAGAGAAGAGATGCAAATCATTTATGTTGTCAAGGAGGGCACCAAAGTGTAATATCATATCCTGTTCCTGTTTCTGCTGCTGATGCTATAAATCAAGTCATATGTTGCTCCGACTCTTCAAAAATGTCGACAACTGCATGTCAGATTGCATCCGAGACGGGTGCAATGACATGTTTGGACATAGATAATCACTACTATTATCAATACCACTTTGAGGTTAGTTATGAACATTCCATCTTCATGTGAAGGCCTTGGGGACAAATGGTGAACAGAAACAAAATGTTTACATTGTGCTTCTGTTCAAGATGTGTCATATTTACTTGTTTTCGAGGGTGTGGCTTAGCTGTCGATGTGAATTATTAGGTCTCGTATGCAAAAACATTAGGTGATTTATTTGTATTTAATCAAGCTTTGATGGATAAAATTATCTAATATCTGTGCTAACGGAAAGTAACGTGTACCTCATGAAATTAGTTAAGGTGCGAAGAGGTGAAAGTTATTTCCCAACATGGATGTTTATGGACAACAACTTCTTATAAGTTAAATATTCTTTGGGAAATAATGAGATTAGAATAGAAAGAGAGTAATTTGTTTATTAATGTATTTAGGCTTAATTACTAAATAAAGTGGGTTAATTAAAAAAGAAGCATAAGATTGAAGATTTAAATAAATTTTACAAAATAGCTTATGGGGTAAAACTCTGGCCTTAAATTTCGATGGATAAGTCCGATTCGAAAGAATAAATTATTTTGATACAACTTATCAAAACATATCTTCTCTAAAAACATATATCAAAATAAACATTTCGCCAAAAAATTGGCGAATTATCACTTGCGTCATTAATATATATGTCTTCTCAAATAGTACTATTTAATATCGATTCATTTTTCTTAAAAATTAATTTGATAGTTTGTCAAAAAAACGGATGAACTATATTTAATTTTGAATATTTGCTAGGTGATTTAATTTATCACGTATCCTTAAATTATGGATATTAATTTACTAGTGGAATTATGAAATATTGCACAATACTTTTGCCCATAATTAAGTTTTAGTGGTTCAATAGTTGTAAGCAACTGAAAAACATGATCACAAAGTCAAATAAAACTTGAATTGACATAACACAAATTTAATTATTTTTTGACAGTGATAATGCGAGAAATTTACAATCAATATTCTTTGAACGCACACCAAATATAAACATCACTAGATATATCTGAATTTTCGATGCCACGAAATCAATTAAATCGAGTAGATATTGACAGAAAAAAATCGTTGCGGCCATTTTCATGCATGATTTTTTTTCTTAAGTATTGCCATTTTAGTCTTACGTTTCCATGAATTTTATAAATCGTTAAAAGGACTATTTTTAATTATTTTAATCATTCTTAATTGTTAATTATGACGCCAAAAAGTTCGTTATCATTTTTTTTTTTAAATTTCAGCCAAACAAATATTTTTTTTGGTAAAAAGCTGCTTGAAATATTTATATTTATATTATATAAGAAAAAAAAACATTTAATACAAATAGCTTAGTGGGACCTCCAATCAACTAAAGACAACGTAACATTCCATGTGCAATCAAAATATTCTAAATTCGAATGAGTATAAAAACATAACTTTCATAACCAAATAATATAAGAAAAAAAGTAATACAATTAAATTAAATGGATAAAGATTCGGTCAAGTATAATTAGGTCAAGTAATATTCAATAGCCTTATAGATTCATGCCGTGTGTACTATATGATAATTTATGATTGAGATCCAGTTAAATTATATACTCATTATAATAATAAAAATAACAAAGCTGTCATCTTTTTTATTTTTTAAAATTATCAAATTAAGCAATTAAGTGTATCCAAACTAAAATTTACAAAAAAGTTTCTTTTAAGATTGACGGAATATGTGAACTTCCTGACTTTTTACCCACCAAACTTCTGCGAAAGTAATTTCACACATATTTTCTTCAAATTCTGAAGTAAATCTCAAAAAATTAAAAGATTAAACATAAAAACATCATTGAGTTCTAAATGATAATTCAACTAAAGAACATGATAATACATTTAAAAAAAAAAACTTATTTTGGAGGTTTTTGTCAAATAATTATGAAAATATATTTATTCAGATTATTCAAAAGTTTCGGATTCTTTAAAATTAGTATAATTTAAAAAATTCCAATACAAGTACGAGGTTTGCCAAGTAAAAAAAATTGGGAAGTCTGTATATTCCCGTCATTCTTATTTTTTTCTTAAAAATATTAGCTAGGGTACACTTAATTGTTTTATTTGATAGTTTTAAAAAATAAAATTAATTGTAACGACCTGTTTTGTCGTTTTAAGCAGCAGATTTTATTTCTGGAAAAACAGGCTGAGACGACGGAACCCACGACGGAACGTCATGGGCGCGACGGACCGTTGAGGGTGTCTCGTCCCAAAACACTTAGAAATTTCTGAAATTTGGGTGCTGAAATCGACTCTCTGAACTCTGTGACGGACCTGCAGGACGGACCGTCACAGGCACGACGAACCGTCGTGATCCACCGTTTCAAAACACTTCAACTCTTGAGAATTGGGTACAGGGAACGATTCTCTGAACGTCGTGACAGAAGTGCAGGACGGACCGTCGTAGGTACGACGGGCCGTCACAGACTCCTTAAGGAAATTGAGTCTCTGACGAACCTGCATGACGGACCGTCGCAGGCGCGACGGGCCGTCACAGGTTGCGTAATCCCAGTCAGAGTCGGATTTCTGGTTAAGTTTTAAAGGGGCGTTTTGGACTATTTCTTGCTATAATTATATATTTCGTGGGTTTATATTAATAACTCAATTACTTGGGGGTTAAAAGAGGTAACCTTAAGTTAATTAGTGGGTTATTATTGCCATCTTTTATTCTTAATTATATACTAATTAGGGTAAAAGAAAGAGGGTTTGAATAAAGAAAATAGAAAGAACAAGAGAAAGAGAGAGAAAGTTGAACGAGGAAGAGAGAAAACGAAGAACAAAGCTTGGGGAAATTGCTTGCTTGATCACTAATCTTCGGTGGAGGTAGGTTATGGTTTCTCTTACGATATTCGTAGTAAACTCTTAATAGCGAATGATATGTATTGATAATATTGTAAACCCTGCTATGTGCTTAATTGTATGCTTGCATGAACGTAATTATATAATTGTGATTATATAAGCATGATGAAGTTATTGAATCCCAAATCTTGCAAAATCCTAATCTCTTTGTTAATAATGAGGCCTTGGTATAAAAGAAGGCGTGATGAACTAAAATAATGGGATTGATTATGCCTTGGTAAGAAAGAAGGCTTGATGAATTGATAGAAGGAGAATTAGTGGATCGGGTGTCACGAACCGACACGTAGAATTAGGGGATCGGGTGTCACGAACCGACACGTAGTATTAGGGGATCGGGTGTCACGAACCGACACGTAGTATTAGGGGATCGGGTGTCACGAACCGACACATAGAATTAGGGAATCGGGTGTCACGAACCGACACGTAGTATTAGGGGATCGGGTGTCACGAACCGACACGTAGATTTAGGGGATCGGGTGTCACGAACCGACACGTAGATTTAGGGGATCGGAGTGTCACGTACCGACACAAGAGGATTAATGAATATTGAGGGAGCGGAGTGTCACGTACCGACACAAGAGAAATAAAGATAATGAATC